CAGTAAAACACATTCTATGACGTATTTTCTTCTTTGTAGATGTAATTACATATAGTTAGTCTTGTTGTAGTTCATCGAAATTTTATTTATATATTACAATACTCAAATACTGTATATTAGTATTATTACAAAGGTGATTATTGAGTCAAATCAGTTTGAGAATTTGTAAGATTATAATTTTTTAGTAAAATATTCCTACTTATGAATGAATCGTAGTTCATCATTCATTACTTGTTCAATTTCATTTATAGATATATATGAATAAAATATATATTTTTATCGTCAACAAATATTCGAAAAGAAAGTTTTTTTGAACAATAAAACATGTCATTTATATACAATATGAACAGCAAAGACCCCAATGTTGATTCTTGAGAGACTCCACATGTCATTTTTTGCTGTTCAGATTCAACGTTATCAATCTTTACATGTTGGTAGCGATTAGTTAAATAATCTCGAAACCAGAGCAGTGGAATTCCTCGTATTCCATATCTACATAATTTGGATTGTAAAATTTCGTAATGTACAGTATCGAAAGCTTTAGAGAAATAGTCCACATGTTACTTCGTTCTTATCAATTGACCATTTGCGTAATAGGCTAAATTTTGAACTAAACAAGTCTAGACAAAAATTTCATCACAGCTTGAAGGAGCATCACAAAATTAGTTATATTCCAAAGTTTCGTTGCAAAATGTTGTAAAATGCGGAAAATATAGCCTTGCGAAATTTGCAATTTTCAGTCATTTTAGATTACAAACGGGAAATTGACAGCCCCAAAACCGTTGACGGTTTTATTTGTTTTTGAAAACTGAAAATTCGCGTCGCGTTGCAGAATCGCGTCCAGTCTGTGTGGGCCTTAAAGGTCTAGACACACCGGACGCGATTCGACAACGCGAAGCGATTTTTCGATTTTTACTGACCGATAACTTTGATAATTTGCTCTACATATCTTTTAAAATTTGCTCTCATTGACTGTTTTATTAACTTTCGAAAACTAAAAAAAAAAATCGCGTCGCGTTGTCGAATCTGGACCTTAAAGGTCCATACACCCCAGACGCGATTTGGCAACGCGACGCGAATTTGCATATCTTGTAAAATTTTTATTCGTTGACGGTTTTATTTGTTTCTAAAAACTGAAAATTCGCGTCGCGTTGTCGAGTCGCGTTCGCGGTCTGTATGGACCTTAAGTCGGTTTTCCACTAGCGATTTTTTTCCCGCGAAGCGAATTTATTCTTTTGTCTTTGGTCAATTTGTTCCAGATGGTTGCAGCTGAGAGCTCTAAAACAATAGCAAAATGTCGCTTCGCGCGAAAAAATCGCTAGTGAAAAACCGGCTTTACAGAAAGCCTAACCGTGGAATGATGTCTCCATGTTCCTAGCCAGTGCGCTTACGAGAGGTATTCACCCCCTGAAAATAATCAAAATGGTGTACTGGTTAGGGACATCGTGGCGTAGCAGCAGTTACGCGCTTTTTTTGGCCGAGTCGGCCTTCTGTAAGATCTCTATTCTGTGCTGTAGGTGGCGTGCTAAATTGGCATCTTTGTATTCCCCAACCACCACCCCCCGTCCAATGTTAGTTGTGACATTGTATTTCACATACCTTTTAGCTAATCAATTTATAAGCTTTCAACTTTGGACCGGGGAGGGGGAGAGGTAAAATTGCTGTTTTACAAGGACAGTTCTACTTACGCATGCGCTGTCCACAATAATTTTGCCTGAACAAAGACACTGGCAATCCAGGTGATCTTGTGTTCGTATTTTAGCCAATCGGCGCTCAGAAAGGGTTGTCCGAATAGAAATTCATTTTGATGTATTCAGTCAATCATATCTTTCGTTATTCTTTATGAAACTAGTTGAAATTCTGTAATTATGTTTGGTTATGAGAACTATAGCTTTGACAAAAATATGGAATCGAAATAAAGTATATTACAGGAGATATTCAGTTGCTTTAATCATAAAATGGATTTCTATTTGACAACTAGTGCCAGTACTTTTCCGCGTATCACGATCATCTGGATAGCAAAGCTTTATAGAGGCCTTACGTAACTGCTGTCCATTGAACGATGCTGCCATGCCATGATTCGCAATGATTCGTCATCCAAATGCACTCACTAGCCAGTACCATAGAAGAAAAACACACAGAAGGTTGACTCAGCCAAAAAAGCGTAACCGCTCCCACGCCATGATTCGTCGTCGAAATGCTGACGCCACGGTCCTAGCCAGTGCGCTTATGAGAGGAATCCCCCCCTGGACGTCCGCCATTTTGAATATTATCATGGGGTGAAAGCGCACTGGCTAGGACCATGGCGTCAGCATTTTGATTACGAATTACGGTTACGCCAAAATCATAGGAAAAACCAAGAAGTCGACCTTCTGTTTGTCTTTATTCTGTGCCAGTACGCTTAAGAGAGATGTTCACCCCCTGAACTTCCGGCCTTCTGTAAAGTCTCTATTCTGCGCCTATAGCATCACCGCACACGCCATTGGCATTGGATAATAAGTTTGCGTTGCAGAAGAAAAAAACTATGTGCTTCATAAAAATGTTACATTCCATATATACTGATTTATTGGTGTCTACTTTAAATAGTACGTAACTGAATACAAGTTCTGCAGCAACTTAAAATACAAGTTTTACCAGTAGCGAAGCCAGCCCGACAATTTGGTCATGCTATGCAAATTTTAAATCATCATCATTGATTTCTTTACAAATTGATTGTTTTCACGGTGTATGAACACGGAAATATTTGCATAGCATGGCCAAATTGTCGGGCTGGCTTCGTCACTGAGTTTTACAATAACTTTATAACAAATAACTACTTTACAATATATCTTGTTTGTATTCTTGCTGAATAATAATAGTTTCTTGTTTGTTTTTTTCGAAGTGACTATGCGACCGGCAGCTGGACCACGGGTTTTGAAAATATCAAAATTGTCCAGCAGGACTTGCAATACGAATTAAGGTTAAATCTTTAGATATTCAGATTTCTATAAAATATATCAAACCCATCCCTAGCTATAAAACTAGAAAGTTAAAATTTGTTGGAAATAAGCTTGAAACATTTAAAGAAAACGCGAAAAAGAACGAAAATGTACTCATTGAGATTCGCACCCACCAGCTACGCCACTGGCGAACTTGCTGAAAACCGCGTATAGTCACTTCCTTTTTTACACACAGATTTTTATATATGGACTGTATGCTATTTTGAGTTAATTTTTACATGCATATTGCAGTCTGTACTTGAAAGACAGTGACAACAAAAAATTTTATTGTCTCATTTGAAACAACTTAACTCTCGAAATATTTTAACTGAAAGCAAAGAGCTGTTATATAGTTCAGTGGCAAAGAGCTATCCGCCATCTTGGATTTGATGACGTCAGGAGTGGGGTTAAATTAAAATTCCTTTCAAGTTACTGTGTAACAATCAAAAGTTGTTTTAAATGTTTTTATTCAATTCAAAATATGAAATAGCAACAACAAAAAAGTGTTTCGGGTTCATATTGATCATTGGCTGTCAAGATAAAAAATTTGCATTACCATTATAAAATTTTGTGTTGCCATTATCCTTCAATAAAGGCCTGTTCGTATGAGGTCCGTACGAGTAACCGTACCCTGGATTACGTGGTTTCCTGTTTAGTTGTAGCCTGCACACAGTGGCTTCACCCGCCATGCCTATAAAACGTGTCTGTGACCAGTTTGCACTCGCCTGAGTGTGGTTCTAATTGTATTCTTATGAGAAACAGCCAGCTTGGCTGGGTGAGACCTTACCTTGCCCTAAGTGGAATCTTAGTCAACTGGGATAAAATGTTCCGACAGCTAATGGACCTATTCCTTAATGAACAAAATTTTAATCTAGACAAGTCTAGACAAAAATTTCATCACAGCTTGAAAGAGCATCACAAAATTAGTAATATTCCAAAGTTTCGTTACGAAATGTTGTAAAATGCGGATAATATAGCCTTGCGAAATTTGCATTTTTCAGTAATTTTGTATTACAAACGGGAAATTGATACCCCAACACCCGATTGGGGTATCAATTTCCCGTGCGTAATACAAAATGACTGAAAAACGGCAAACTTCGCAAGGCTATATTATCCATAGAGATTATAAATAACACTAGAGGGGGCATCGAGGGTGAAATTTGGAAACGCGGCAATGGGGTGCAAATTGAAATCCATGATGAACGCCACACAATTTTTGGGTTACACTTGAAACCAGAAAAAAATTAAAACAAGAGTCACAAAACTGGGTATTTTACATGTTTTGCATGTCATTACTACAAAAATTCCCCCCAAATTTTGAATTTAAACGATTAATTCCTCCCGAAAAGATCAAAATTGCTGACATCAGCATTATTTCGGAGCGCTCTCAAAAATGTGTTATTGACCAAATTGAGGTAAAAATGCTTGGTAAAAATTAAAACGGGACTACTTAACTGCCATAAACAAGCATTTAGAGATTTTGGCTCAAATTGGCTCTTATTTTAGCATTTTAATTCTTTGCCCCCCCAATAGCTGCGTTCCCTTTCTTTGACTGACGCGAGATTACGATGCCTCCTCTAGTGTTTTTATAATCTCTATGATATTATCCGCATTTTACAACATTTCGCAATGCAACTTCGGAATATTACTAATTGTGTGATGCTCTTTCAAGCTGTGATGAAATTTTTGTCTAGACTTGTCTAGATCAAAATTTTAGTTAAAGGTCCATTGGGATGGCCGGTTTTGACCTGCAATATAATATTGAACGGCATAATTGGAAAGTACAAACAAAAAGTTAACATTAAAAGCCCTAAACAGACACTTTTAAAGTCGTAATACAGCCTGCAGTTTGTTGAAGACGCAGTAGGTTTATATAACATTGTTGTATATGTTTATATAGGTCACGTGAACCTTTATTCCGCAAATCAGGCTCATATAAACAGGCCTTTAGAATAATGTTGTTTTTAGGTTTTCATAGTAAGGATTTTTATTTTAAAACATGGGTTGGTTTTTAGCCCGATTCTAGATCAAGAGGGCAAACGTCTTAATATTATTCCTAGTGTACAACAGCAGTGCCTGTTGCCAGTCTGACCACTTGCGAACCTCACCAACGTACACGAACCAAATAATGTTTGTGCAAGTTGTCTGTCGAACATATTTCTCTTTTTCCGCGACGAAACGCTGTGCACACTTCTGGTAACCTGTTGTGAAACAGCAAATTATGTATAAATTATGTATAAATTATGTATAAATTATGTATAAATTATGTATAAATTATGTATATACAATAGGCCCTTTGCAGTTCTTTGCAGCTCACATAAAAACACTTTACATAACAATATCTGGAGGGCAAGAAAAATGCTTTGCTTTGTCTTATTCCCTTGTTTACAAATCCCACAGCTCTCTATGCTCTAAGCCCAAAGCGTTCAACAAGAATGTATTGCCAGTGCCAACCCCGCGGTCAAACGTATAAAGTGCATGCGCGAGTATACAGAAATGGCGGGAATAATAGGAGTAAACACGGGAAAAGAAAAGCGTTTACTATAAGGAAACGGCTGAATTTCACCGCTTTTTCCTTGCAACAAATGGAAGTTATCCTGACTTTAAACTCTCGTAGTCTTCCATAAACCTTTTGCTAGAACTTCGTGAAGACAATACTATTTCCAATTTTTTCAATACAAGCAGTAAATACGCGCGGGTGTTTGGATCGCGGTGTTGCTAGTGCAATATTTGCCGTGTCAGTTTTCTAGTGGCACGCCTGTAAACTATTTCCAGTTTATCGTGTTATTTACCCCTTATACTGCATCCACAGCAGGTATCATAAGCTGAGCCAAGCATAATAAGCCACGGGCAAATTAAGCCGTACGCCTCATCATAATATCTATCCATTGTGGGCATGGAGTTAATGAGCTTCTTCTCGGCGTGGTAGGCAAGTTCACTCGCACCACGAGGCTTTTTTCCCACTCCCGCAATGACCAGATTCGATCGCGCGTTCGGAGGGTATACACCGTCTGTTTTCAAAGATGGTAAGTAATTAGTACTTTGTAGCAAATTGGCCAAATTACCCGGGACTTCAAACCGTTTTGCTTCACTGCGAACAATCATCAGAAAAGCAAACTGGTTTCTTTTTTCGGCCACTAAAATGCGATTGTAAATTATGGTGAAAATTAGTGTGCCATAGGCATCAAAATCAAATCGAACAACTGGTGGCGGTTGCGATATTGGCGCCGACCTTGCGGATGCGTTTTCCGTACCATGTTGAATTGATGTTAGGTTTTTCAGACTTGAGCCGGTCGCCTCCAATGCTAACAAACAGAGAATGATAGAAAACAGTTTGGTTTCCATATTCGATGTCCTGAACGCTGTTGAACTTAGATCTTAACCCTAACGTACGCTCCTTTTAAGTATACAGTGTCGCATGATCTCATCAACTGTCAACTTGTGGAACATTGAAAAAGTTGGTTAACAAAAGATAACATGATTGATAAGATGGTGATCTAATCTACAAAATGGTTATCTATGATACACTTTTAAATATACAATATCAAATGACCTCTTTCATTGACAAACTTTGTTATCAAAGAATGAGATGAACAATAAGATGCTGATCTAATCAATATTATGATTATCCAATGATTATCTATGATAATCTTATTAAATATGCAAATTCACATTACCTCATCGACTTGTGGAACATTAACAAGGTTTGTTATCAAAAGATTAGACAATCAATAAGCAGGCTATCTGATCAATGTGATGATCATATACGCTAAATATAGATGACATTATGGAAGATATTATCTGATTTGCCTTAACTTTGCTTAACAAACTTTAGCTAAAGCGATTATTGCTAAATCATTTTCACCGAGTTGCAACTCCACACTAAAGCCCCGTTTATACAACGCTCAATTTTTGGTACGGTATGGATAAAATTGGTACCCGTACCACTTTTTTTGGTTTTTGGACTACCTATTTAGGTAGTCCGAGTACCAAAAAAGTGGTACGGTACCAAACATCGAGCGTAGTGTAAACGGGGCTTAATTAACAACCCTCACCACAGCTTAGATATGGGGTAATAAGCATAGTTTCTTGTTTGCGTTCTTTAGTTCTTTCACTGGAATATTTTATCAGCGAATATTTAATTCTGTATCTCATGTTTTGTAATTGTAATTGTAATTGAAATTTTTTATTGAACGTGTTTTGAAATACTGCACGCGTTTCATTTTCGGACTTTCAACTTTTGAAGAAAACGCTGTCGTTGTCTTTCGGGTACTATAGAAATTTATACACTTCGACCAAAGAATTTCGTCAGTATAAACCTGCTTTCAGAGATTTGTCAATCTCTGATTCTCACTTATGATCTCATTTGTGAAATATACGTATACTCTCGATATCGTCATTACAAAGAAAGAGTTATTGTTACGTTTTGAAAATGAACTGTTTATTAAAGAAGTGCTTCAATAAGGAAAGTTCTTTTCTTGATTATGTTAGCCCTTCAAAAATCTACTACATTGTACATTAGATAAAGATGTTCTGTAATGTTCCACCAGCCTATATCTTTATAGATAAGATATGTAACTTTTCATCTTGTTCAAAGAGAATTGATATACTTGTTAATGTGGTCTCTTGATATTCTATTTTTACGTGTGAGGAAGGCGGATTTTCTAGCTGCAAAAGGATTTCTTCTATTCAATAGATATATAGGCTCTTGAAAAATCTGAAGATTTCATGTAAATTCCCTCTCACAGGAATTGAACCTGTGGCCTTGCGATTCCGGTACAGTGCTCTAACCACCTGAGCTACTGCAGAGTCTAGTTGTCGAGTAGTAACCACAAGTTCATGCATTTTTAGTGATGCTATTCTAAAGTATATGGGTAAATATCAAAATTTTGAGCATCCCAATCGACATCATTAAGTCTTGAAGGGTTGTTCATAATCATCTCATGAAAAAGGACACAACATCTTATCTCATCATTTCATAACATCTTTTTTCAATGTTCCACATGTAGCCATGTTAATAAATAAAGTCATCTGAAGATGTATTTACACTAGAAAATGTGAACAAGCGAATAAGCCCTTGTCGGGGAGTTAATGCCTTTATAAGAAGCCACATTTTCTTTCAAAAGAATTTCACGTATTCAATGTATAGGCTCTCCTACATTGTATTGTACCAGTATTACGTCGATATTTTACAATCTTATACAGTTCCTGTTGATCTTTTGTTTCATCTTCGCAGTGATATTTTATGTTTCCAAAAGGAAACCGATTTTTTCTACTTCTATTCAATGTGAAGGCCGTTCAAACATTTCCCACAAGTATTTTCACAATGTTCCACCGGCCTATCTCAATTTTTATCTTTGCAGTAAACTGATAACATTCGAACTCTATGTCAATCTTTGCCATGTTCTTATCTCGTTTATCAAAAAATCAATGTTCCACATGCGAATGAGATCACTTAGTGTTGTATTTAAAGACTGTACTCAGGCATGAGTTATTCAAACTGTCAATCTAACTGAATCGGACTTGTATCTTCAGCGTTAAGATATTCGAATTAACAGTCACACAAGTTAACTGTCACGATTGTGAACTCGAAATTCAGGATGAAGACAACGCTATTGTTGATCCTAATTGCGTTTTGGTTGCGATGGATTCAAATGCTATAACTGGTATAAGATCATATCCATGGCACCCCATGCAGGCATACAATAAAGGCGTCCAATGAAACAACTCTCAAAGAGTCTGATTCGGCAACGAATTCCACTTCCCGAAGACGATGGCGCATGCGTTGATACTATAGGCACGAACCGTTGCAACGGCGTTGCCATGTTCCTAGCCAGTGCGCTTACGAGAGTTATTCACCCCCATTGAACTATAAATAAACTGGAAGGCTAACTCAGGGGGGGGGAATTGAAGCCAGTGCATTTTAGTTTTTCTGAGTTATGAGCAGAAATACTCAACACTGAACGTTGGGCTATATATCAAATTGAAGCTATTGAAACACGCTATTTGGTGTAGAAATTTCAAGACTTTAGCTAAAAGGGAAATATTGAAAAACTACAAACATAATTACCGATAATTTGCCGTTTTGCAGTTGTTTTTGTATTTTTTAAATATTTTTCTTTTCGCTGAAGTCTTGAAATTTCCACACCGAATAGCAATTTTCAATAGCTTCAATTTGATATATAGCCCGACGTTTGGGGTCAAGTATTTCTGCTCATAAC